GGTTGGTCCTGACGAAATCGCGGTGAAGACGATATCAAATCGATCTATTTAATCATCTGAAATACAATAACGCGAGTAGGCAAGCCATTTTTTTGATCCAAAAAAGTTTAAAAAAGGAAAGAGCCAAATAAAGAGCTGTTAAGACGAATAAAAACAAACGATGTAAATGACATTCACTGCTCCAGCCAGCACAAACTTGCCCTGTCCTTTTACAGGCAGACAAGACAGCCCTATCCCTAGCCCAGCCAGCCCTTCCCAACTCCACTGCGCCGTTATGAATAATGACAGTTTGAGGATACTCGTCAAAGCCAGTTTGGAAAAAAAAAAAAAAAAAAAAAAAAAAATAGGAAAGAAAGAAAGAAAGAAACTCCGCAAATGCCCCAGGGAGATTGTATATAAGTAAATAAATAAAAGTTGAAGTTAAAAATCAAGTAGCAAACCTAAGACGTCGTGTTAGTGTTTTCCCTTTTCCTCTGAGCTACAAGAACACTTTCTGGGCGTCTTTTGGATGGCTTTCGTTCGGGCAGTACGGGCATTTAAATCGAGAGCCCTTGCTAAGTCTCATGAGAGATTCCTGCGCAATGACGTGACCACAAGGCATCATCATGGGTGGGTTTTCATCGGTGGTTTGTTCTTTCGAAACCGGGCAGACGAAGATAGAATGGAATTGGTATGACGGTGGGAGGGGGATTTCAACCTGCATTTTGTTAGCGACGAGCGTTAGAGATGGAGCAAGGAAGTTTTGCAAATTTAAGACGGGAAAAGAATCAGGGGAGCAGGGAGTGTTTTCTCACCGGAAGTTCGTTCTGGGATGTCCATTCTGTCCGCTTCTCTTTCATAATGGTTTGTAGCTTGAGTAGCGTGGGGAGTGCAATCGCGCCAGCTGTAGCTGCTATATATAGAGGGGATTCTGCTGCTAGACCCAGCAAAGAGCAGTATTCACGGGTGAAGGAGTGTGCTACATCGTTCCAGGAGGAAGGGTTGTTAAAAATGTTTTTGTAGGGGGAGTCTGCGAGATTAGGACAAAATGCCATAGCCCCCATTAATTGTTGGATTTCTGGCAGATGCCTTCTCTGGAAAGTCGAAAACTCGTTCCTGGCATATTCCAATGCCAGCTGCCGGCCAACCGCCATCGGCGTTTGCGGATTTTTGCCTCCGTGGAATAGCCACACGAACTGCAACCTGCACAGCTCAAACTCTAGATTGCTCCCCCTTGCTTCCAATAGGTGTCGATGTTCCGAGGCCCATTGTATGGCCGGTATTAAGTTTCGTTGCTCTTTCAACTCATGTAGGATTTGATACATGAGAACAAACTGTTTCCTGATATCACCTGATTGCATTTGCTCCATTTCCATGGCAATGCTGGCGGTGTCAGAATCGGATTGATCCGAAGTGGGTTGTGCGGGAGTTGGATTTTTGGCCACTTCCGATAAAAATGTAGAGGCAACGGAAAACTGGCCCTCTCGAAGTAGGTGCATGGCAATAGCTCTGTTCACCAGCGCTGGCTGTGCTGATAAAGCGTCATAAGGCAGAGGCTTGTCCTTAAAGAGCTGCAAAGAAAAATATAAAGTTAATATCATGTAGACCATTTCCATACGCATAGATTTACCACACATAACATCCACGCATGCTGGGATCTTACTTTGTCCAGGGCTTTGGTATATTTGTTCAGGCCGCTATGGGCGTCCTTGAGACTGTCGTTGGTCGCATCGAAGGAAGCCTTCACAGGGTTTTGTAGCTTTGCCAAAGTTATGGATGCTGAACTGGGATCTAAGCAGACAATATGAGTTACTAAGAATCCTTCCAAAAAGCCAAATATCCGACCCGCAAGCCTTGGATATTGCTCTGTGTGCCGGAGTTAAAGGTTATTTATGTTCCGGGAGGGGATAGCGGCTCACTTTCGGCAATGTTGTTTCTTGCCTCCTGGAGGAGGTCAATTGTGGCCTGCACATCTTTGATGCTCTTCCCAGTGTGAGCGCGCTTCCAGAGCCGTTGATGTTCCTTCTGCAGTAAATCCATTTTGCCGGTGGCGGAGTGGGTGACCCAACGAATGTCGCCTTTGGTCAGAGAGCTCTACCGGCGTTGGGGTATGGCGGACATGTCGCGACGCTACAGCTTCAGCTTCAAGGCCAGACAATGGAAGAATCCCCGCAAGGAGAAGACGGTGTAATTTTGTTTGTTTGTTTTTTTATTTTTTTATTTTATTTTTCTGCTATATTTCCCCTTCAGCTGCTTTGGTGTGGTCGTGTCGGAGTGGTCATGGGCAGTTGAAGAAGCAGGTGAGCAAGCGGTGGTTATTGATGGTGGTTTGATGGGTTGATGTGATGGTGATGGGTGATGGTGATGGGTGATTGGGTGGTTGCTCCCAACTCCGCATGAGCATGTAACATACGGTACATTACGGAGTACATACGGGTACATCCCGATTCAGCTAGGGTACCGCCGGTAATACAGGCCACCATCCCATGATTGTGGCGCAAGCCATATACGTATTGTACTTGTATTAAAGACTTTCTCTGCAGGTTTGCACTGCTAAAAGGACAGTATCATGTCGTATTAGGTACTGTAACACCGGTCGGAGGTACCTTACCCTACCTAGTCCTCCCGGTCTTGTGATCATCCTCAGCCACTTGTGACGTCGCTGCTTCTATCCATCCTCCAACGACACTGTTGGTATGGAATTTCGTTCTTGCAGTCGATCTACAACTTTTGAGGATGCACACATTAAACCACAGACTGTCCTATCCTCCAAACCGATGATGGCCTTTTTCACTGACAGTGCTTATTTGCTCACTCCTGGCCCTCCAGAGCCATAACAAATAACTGCAGAGGTACACCGCCGCTTGTCCGATTCCGCAAGCACTTAATCCAAAACCTCCTTCCATATACCGATTCGAAAAACAAGGAGCCTACAAGGGATAGAGATAGTCCATATCCTGTTCTTGAGCTGCCATGGCCTTTCCCAACGACACTGGTACTTTCTCGCCTCACCCCGCTAGTCCTCGAAACGGTGACAGGACTGCCGGTAGAGGTTATTCAACACCTCCTCATATCGAAGCGGTCGAAGGTTCTTCTCCCAAGCAGGGCCATCAAAGATTCGTATTTACAGACCCTGTTGCCTTTCGATACCTGGAAGAGGACCCGTCGACAATAGTGCTGGACCGGCGACGTACATTGAAAGGCTATGAAATATACATTGTTGAGCAGTGGGCATGCTCAAGGGTCCATCCTACCTTTGTCATCAACACATATACTGGCGATCCTTCAAACACTGCAATGGTGGCTGTGCTAAGTGTCCCAACGGATGAAAATGCCTGGTCCCCCAGATTAAAGGTTTACTTCGATGCTATTGCCCAATTTCATGCTAGAAAACGAGAAACCCCTCTTGGAATTTTGATGGTTACGAATCTGAGTAGTTTTCCTTCTGCGTTGACTGTGATTCCCGTGCCTAATGGCGATGTGAAGAGACATAGGGAGGATTTCATTGTTAACGAGGATCTGAAACGCCTTGGCTGCTCGGGGCGAGCTGGTATGAATCTAAAACAACCCACCGCCGCTACGCAAGCCAAATTTCACCAACTATACAGAACGAGCGAGCGGGTACCACTCTATTCGGCGGTAATGGAGCTGGTAAAGCAATGCCAGACGGCGCTGATGATTTTCGATAAGCTGGTCCCTGAGTATGTTGATGGATTGCTCTGTGACGTAACAGAGAAAGCCATAAACGACTGGTGGACCGATATTGGAACCGACTTTTTCAACATCGAGCCCAGCGATGGGATTCTAGGCCCAACGACAGTTTCCGCACTGCTTGGTACGTTGATGGGAGCGAGGAACCGCCTTAATGCGAACGGTGCCCCAGTCCCCAAGGATGTTTTTGACGTGGCAACTCTAAAGCGAGGAATAGAGAGCTTTCAGAAGTCCCAGAAACTGGATAGGACTCGCAGACTCGATCGACAGACATTGGATCGACTACATCGGGTAACTGCAAAAGCCGCTAGTGGTGATGGCTGGAATGTACCACGCGCAGTAAAATCCACTGTTGCAGAACTAGGAGGCAAAGGCGGAGAAATGGTCATGGGAATTGTTGGCGGACGTGCCAAAGCTGGAATCGCGGAAATTGAAACCATAGATATGGACCGATTTGTTCAGTTAGTCGGAGGCGAACGGCCTAAATGGCTCTGGCATGGGAAGCCACGCAAGACCGGAAGTGATATCTTCCGCCATGCTGCTGGAGACAACTCGATGGTTTTTACGTGTGACGACCGTGGTGGATATAAATGGACTAGTAGGAAGAGGGACGCTGCGTCTGATCATAACTCTGGCCGCCATAGCCTTGAAACCGACTATTCTGGAAAAATGCTTGATTCCCCAGCTACTCTTTTGGATGACAGGGAACAGCAGCTAAAAGGTGCCCTAAAACGATCCGTCACTGGCAAGGTATCCGATGCCCGTGCAGGGTTTGGTCGTTTCAAGGACGCTGTTGGACTACCTAGTCTCCGGTCTCATCATCACAAGCGGTCTAGAGATGGCGTGGATTTTGAAAATGAGCTAGGCTCTCATTCAAACATGGGCTATTTTGGACCGCCGTCTACGCAAACTCAGGACGAGAATTTTCCAGATGCCGAACAATTGCCATCGATATATCCGGAAAATCGAGACGATACCACCCAAGCTTTGTATGAACTGCCACCGAATGAACCACTATCCACTTCCAATGTTATCTCCGTTAAAGCCCATGAGGGTCCTATCCCTGACGATAAGCATTCAACAACTAATGAATCACAACTCAGCGAGGAAGCTGCGCTATCTGCTGGGGAAGGCAAAATTGCGCTCGAAAGTGCTGAACCAAAACCAGCAGAGCTAGGGGGAGCTACACTACCCGCTAGCATACCCCTTCGACGGCCACGAAGCCATTGTGTCCTTCCCTCTGAACCGTCAAACAATCAAGGCGATTCCCGTTGGCCACGGCACCTATCCTTTAGCGCCGTAGAAGATACGATTCTTACATGGAAAAATATCCCAGATTGGGACCCAATTCTCGATACGAAAGACACGACCCCCGCGGACGCCATGTTGCGGGAGGATATCCTCGCGTCCGACGCGCAGTATTACGGCGGTAAGATTCACGCCTTGCACGCTACGATCGCGCCTTGGGTTGAGAACCAAGTCTCCGCCGTTGAATTCATAAACGTCCGTGCCCAGGCCTGGTTAGACGAGCTCAACTCTGTCTACCATGAGAAGATTGAAGATTTTCGCGGGTTGCAGACACGCACCGCTGATCTGCTTGCGGTCGAAGGTTCGGGTCTCATGGAGGGCTCCAAGAAAGTCGAACTGCTAGGTGCAAAGCTTGATTATGAGCTCAATGCGCTACAGTCGAGGGTCGAAGAGGTGGATGCCGGATTGAGTGATTACGAGCGGCATATCGTTGGTATCGAAAATAGGGTTAGGGATCTGGTTAAGGATGATACGCAGAAGGCGAGGGAATCGTGGTTTAGCTGGGGCAGTGGGCTCCTTGGACGGTGAAATGGGTGTTTGATAATAATGGATCAAGCCGGCCTCTTTTCTTTAACTTCCCCTCTTTAGCTCTGGGAGGTACATATTGGAATGTTTCTATTTACCCCTTTACTTTTTGATACAGGGGTTCGCAGTGCTGCATATGCAGATTACTTAGAGCTGGTTTATACCCTGTTTGATTGTACTGTACATATAGTTACTACTCGCATAGCAAGGCGTTTCATAGCAGCAGACAAGCATAGCAAATCAAAGAAGTATTTCATTGATCACTTAAATCGAATGGCATCTATCTGCTCTACCATACCAAGATAGCAAGGGGGTGTGAAAACATAAATCTTACTATAATAATACAAAAGGAATACGACAGCGTACAAGCATATGACCGATAAAAGTACAAAAAAAGAATCTGCTAGCCCCATAGATGCACAAACATGAATCCGTAGATAGGGTATAAAACAAGTGATGTCAAAAGGCGTTTTCCGCCTCCACAGTCAAGTTTCAACAGCCCCTCTCACCGCCATGCCTGATTATGGAATATAAAGGAAGACACGCCCATAAGGAACAATACGGTCTCTCGCCCACGCTGTTCTCGTAACATCTCATTTAGCCAGCTCCGCAAACCAAGCAAATACCGTATCCCTCAACGATGAAACCCGCATTTATATTCCAACGCACGAGAGAATGGCGCCCCGGGAATCAATCAAGCTCCAGAATAGATGGGTAAACGTAGCGAAAGAAAAGGCTGTAAAAGATGTAAAAGAAACCCCCGCATCCGTGTATCCATTATCGTCATCTCTATCCCATCATCCGGTGGCCGACGGCCCCGTATCTCGGTATCTCCCTCTCCCTTGGTGGAATTAAAAAAAAAAGGTATTGTCCTCTTTGTTTACATCCCAAACCCAGAGCCACCCTGCTGCCCCATAGCCTGCCCTTGCATCTGCTGCATTTTCTCCGAAACCTTCATGTTGACTTCGAAGAACTTGGCCACACAGCGGTCGAGGCAAACGGATTCGCCTTTGTTCAGGTCTCCTTCGCGGTAGTCGGGTGGGATGCACTTTTTCATGCAGGCGCTTGAGAGGCTGGGGCCATTGGAAAATGGGGAAAGGGATATGTTAGAAAAATGAGGCCTCTATTTTTGTGTGACTTATTGGTGGTTTTTCTAACTTGGGTTCCTTTTTTTTCCTTAAGGGGGGAGGCAAATTTTCGTCCATAGCTTCCGGGTCGTGTAACCGTAAACTCACCGCGTCATCATATCTGTGACCATCTCAACCTCCATCTCAGCCCTGCTGATTTTCTCCTCTGAGGATAATTTTGGTTGGCCTCCGAATAGGAACGACATTTTGGTGGTTTTCGGGCGGGTTTACGGGATAAAGGTTCGGGTTAAAGGATTAGCAGTTATCCGGCGAGTGCGGGTTAATATGATATATATGAGGAATCTGGTATTGGAGTTGATGGTTGCAATTCGAAAGGACTTTGTATATGTAGACTGGGATATGAGTTTCGTTGTTTGCGGGCCGCGGTATGGGGCACTTTCGCCGATTTAGAGTTTGATTTATATCACGTGGTATAAGTCGCCGCAGGTCAAGGCGTTAAAAGATCACTGACAGATCGATACAAAGTGAGATAAAATCAAAACGAAGCTTTTAGGATTTCAGTACTATCCCATATCTATCTTCAACAATGGATGTATATATAGAAATATCTTTATCGGTTTGCGCAAAGTTGAGCTGAATTAGCCTAGGAATCTGGCCGGCCGTCAGAATAAACTCAGTCTGTTCTAACCACATCTGGAACGCTTAAATATTTAACCACAGTAAATCCGGCGGCATTATTTCCCTCCCCTCCCCAACCCAACCACGACCGAAAGCTCTCGCTCAACTCGATTCCTCCAGCCATTGGACGTCACCCACAGTGAGTGCTATCGTCCGCTGAGCAGATGCGGACTTCTTGCTCTCGATGGGTAAGCCAAGTGAGTCTGGATAGGCCATTTGCAAGGTACGTATATCTCTTGTCAGCTTTCCACTCGTTTTCCATTCCTGGCAAATGCGTAAGGACGAGATACTACATTTACCGAACCGCTGCGGATTATGCTTTAGAAAGCGAGGGTTTTTTTTTTTCTGCCCTCGCCCCTTTAAAGGCAGAGGAATCAAAACAATGTACCATTAATCTGAAAATGTGCTATGCAAATTGCTTTGCGTTAATCTACTTTTTAAATGTATCCCGGAAACGCTTCGGAGATCCGCTAATGAAATCCAACTCTATAAAACTTTCTAGTTTCGCCCGCTCACACATTTCGTCCCTGAATGGAACAGCGATACAGCAAACCTTCCGACCGGTCCGTTGGTCGTCAACAAATACACCGACTGTCGCAGAGGCAGCCAGCGTGAACGATAAAAAGGGCTGGAAAAACAGGATCGCAGAGATCACAAATATTTACCGAGAACCATACCCACGACTGTCCGTCGATAAGCGGTCAATCAGCTGTGACGAGTTCCACTCCAAATATAAAGACATAAAACCGAACGAAACTGCAGAGCAGGACTTAGTGGTTATCTATGGTATGTAGCCTAGATTTTGGGAAATATCTCTCCTAAAAGAAATAGAGGAGGGAGAAAAGAATACCAAAAGGGTTCGGCCTGCGCTCATAACTTAAGCGATTAGGTAGAATACAATCTACACGTATTGCGGGGAGCAAGTTGATATTTCTTGACCTTGTGCAGAATGGACGGAAAGTGCAGATTCTGTGCAACCAGAGACATCTGGATGGCACTGGCGTGACGCCAGAGAAATTTAAGCAGTTCTATCATCTTCTGCGGCGTGGGGATGTTTTCTGTAGGTTACCATTATCCCCCCGAGTCGTATTATATTTCTTATCGTATCACCGAGCAAAGCGATCTGTGTAACGCAAATTAACATTTTATAACTGGTCCGGAAAATTAGCTGCCATCGGAAAACCCCATAGAACAGGCCGCGGGGAGCTCTCCGTGACCGCATCCGAGCTTCCCAAGCTCATCACGCCATGCCTACACGATATCCCGCTCCGTATCAAAGAGCAAGAATCTTCGCCGTATGACCGGCACGTCCAACTACTCTCCTCCCCCACCGCGGCCGATATCCTTCGAGCTCGGTCATCCATCATTCAGTACATACGCACCTTTTTCCTAGACAAGTCGTTCATGGAAGTGGAGACGCCAATATTGGCATCTGTTGCCGGCGGCGCGGTTGCTAGGCCGTTCGAGACATCCGCAACTGAATTTCCTGACCGACCTCTGTCGCTGAGGATTGCTCCAGAGCTATGGCTCAAGCGCCTTGTTGTTGGCGGGTTCGATAAGGTGTTTGAGATTGGCCAATCATTTCGCAATGAAGGTAAAAACCCTCTTCCCCCTTACCCTGGATTTTTTCTACCTTGTAATTCCAGGGAGAAACAAGAAAACAATCATCTAAAACTGGGTGTTAAATCCACAGGTCTCGATAAAACTCACAACCCTGAATTCACAACCTGTGAATTTTACCACGCATTCGCCGACCTAGAAACGTTAATATCACTGACCGAGTCCATTTTCACGGGTCTCTCGCAACACGTTCACAATCTAAACCAAACACTACCAACCCTATCGCCAACCACAGCCAGTTTCGCAGCGCCCTTCAGCCGCCTAGACTTCATCCCAGATCTCGAGGCAGCAATGGGCCACAAGCTCCCAGACTTTGTCTCCACGCCTACTGAAGAAGCAGCAAAAATAATCCTCGACCTCTTCGAACAGCTGCACCACCCACCGCCGACAAACGCAACCCTCCCCCGCCTCCTCGACCGCCTAAGCTCCATCTACCTCGAACCGCAATGCAAAAACCCAACCTTCATTATCAACCACCCGGAATGTCTCTCGCCGCTCTCGAAATCGTTCATCCACCCGGCCAACGGGCAAGTGGTGACTGCGCGAGCGGAGCTCTTCGTTGACAAGCGGGAGATGGTGAATATGTACGAGGAGGAGAACTCACCGTTTGAGCAGAGGCGCAAGTTTGAGATCCAGCTTGGGTTCCAGGGGCAGGCGGTGGAGGAGGAGGGGGAGGGGAAGATGGATGAGAGTTACGTGCAGGCGCTGCAGTGGGGGTTACCGCCGACGGGCGGGTGGGGGTGTGGGGTTGATAGACTGGTGATGTTGTTTACGGGGGCAGGGCGGATTGGGGATGTGTTGAGTTTTGGGAATTTGAGGAGTGTGACGCGGTCTGAGTAAGGGGAGAAATTTCGCCTCGCTCTTTGGGAGATTATATCAGGATGAGATATGTATTTGTATGGGTGTTTTTCACTTTTTGTTCTCCCTTTAATGATAGATGGATTAAATGTATGATAGAAACTCAGATGAGAGAGGGTGATTGGATAGATGTACCATTTTAGATCGACGTTGACGTGCCATCACCATCATATTAACCTCGATGCTCATCGACAGGATACTAACGAAGGCAGCAATCAGGCAACCAGGCAGCGAAGACAGGTGCATCAGGTAACTTGTTATAGAAATATCCCAGCTTTTCCCCCTTCATCAATAATCATAATCCCGGACCAGGTCCGGTGCTATGTTTATCCGGCCGATCAACCCCTGTTTCTTGGCTCGGTGATGATTGTCTGGCAGCAACAACTCGTCAGTCCTCACGGATGACAATAACATGAACTCGACATCGTAATGACACTTCCATTCGGCCCCTGGACACTTACAAAAAGTGATCTTTACGGCGCTGGCGTCGGGGTAACCTCCCAGACATCCCGAATTCAACATACCGGGGATATTTTTAACCGGTCTGGCTTCCCTTCTAGAGCCACACTTCCCGGCGATGCCGTCGTATCGCAAGCATTATGCATCACTACTTGCTATCGCCGTCGGCTTTCTAGCCTTGTTCTTATGGGGCCCCCAACGTTTACGCAATGTGGGTTGGCTGAGCTTCCACGCGGTTGTTTTTTTTTTTCTTTTTTTTTTTTTTTCTTTTCTTTTCTTTTCTTTTCTTTTTTTTTTTTTGGGTGGACGTGAAACCTAGAAATGCAGCGGTGATGTCTCCAATCAAGTCAATTCTCGAAATGACTCTTGATCCTTGGAATTGAAAAGGACTTTGTCCGTCTTCACCCATTGCCTACACTCTTATCATGTCCGCCGAGAAAAAACACTCTGTGTCATCCGAAGATTATGATCCTGTTATTTTCGAGGCAATCAAAGTCAACGCAAACGAACGAAAGGAGCTCTCCACTTCGAGAAAAGCTGCCCAGCAAGCTCGGTTTGCGAGAGGGGCAGAGGAATTGGATAATGCGGTAAAAAGGGCTGTCGATAAAGATGTTATTGTGGCGGCGGGGAGAATAGGCGAGACTAGTGGAAATAATCCAAAATAATCGAAGAGGAATATGGGAGAAGAGGTATCGCGGCTCATATCAATGCTGATTTTGCACGCTCAAACCTGTCTAGGTCGTTTTTGAGCCCTTCGTTGACCTCCTTGTCCTCCACCCCGAATAGCTGTTGAAGTCGCTCGTTATACTCCATCTTATCTTTGACTTAGCCTTCAGAAATCCCGCTGCGTCGTGCGTCCAATGTTGATATGTTGTTAGAAGAAATGGAACTCTGTCCATGTCCACCATTGTAAATTGGGGTTGGATCCGTGCATAGAAGAAGACTTTGCTGAGGCCGGACGGGGACTGCAGTGCTAAAATGTACCAGAAAGAACCAGTGTCCCAGGACCTCTTCATGACGGAGGAACACTGCATGGAGTGGGATGGGTGAATCTTGTGCTCCTGCTCTTTAAACACCTCCACAAACTCCTTATGACGCTTGCTGTACTTATCAGGGCTTATTTCATCCCCAGTCTCGCCAGTTAGCCAGTAAGGCAGCTGCAAGAATTCCAATGGTTGCGCAAATGGCCCACTCAAGATCAATCAGATACTTGATATTCCAGTCGTCATCAATAAGAATGTTGCTTGCGTGTAAATCAGTCAAGCTAAGATAAAATGGTCCATGGTTCAGACCAGGCTCGAGAAACCGGGCTGATAGAGCGCGCATCATGGATAATGCTGACATTTGAGTGACACAATCTGCAACACAAGCGAGTGAATTTGGCTGGTAGCGTAAGTAACTATCGTGGACGGATAAGATACCGTTAACATCAGAGTCAACTGTAGGGTACACACGATCTCGGGGGATATCAAGAGGTGTCTCCTCGTTTTCCACAATTGTCGACTTAGCAGCAGCGAGAGGCCTGTTTTCTAGTCGTAGAAAACCATCATTATCAATCGTGAAGGATCCAATTTTCGGCAAGGGCCTGTGGCTGAGGGTGAGGATGATTTTTGCAAGGTTTCGGAACAAATTCATCCGTAGTGTCTGATCATCATCGTGCTTGTCACGCCAGTCATCTGAAAGCATCCTTCCATCTGCTTCCTCGATGAAATCTAATAGCAAATACGGGCCAAGTTTGTTAGAGATAGTGGTTGGATGTTGAACGAGTCGAGATGGAAGGGGAAGTCGGAGCAGCTTTCGGATTGTGCATTTTAGGGAATACCATAGCCGTGTGAGAAACGGTAGATGCTCTCTCTCGGTAAACTAGAGAATGTCTTAACAACATTAAATGACAACAGTGAGGGAGAAAAGAACAAAGATTCTCACAAGCTGGCCGGTTGAAAGACCAAATCCGTATAAATGTGGTATTGGGACTGAAGGACACTCCTGGCTGATCCAAGCATAGGTTGCAGCCTCACAACGCACCTTCTCATCCGCGTTGCCAGGAAGAAAAGTTCTCGCCAACGCGATAGGGAAGAGGAAAACGCATGATTACGCGTCGTAAAAGTATTGACGTTGACAGGGACGCAGAGGTTGAAGCTACCACTCATCCATTTCTTTGGTTCTTCCACTTCCACTTGACAAGCTGAAGGGTAGATGCTGAGGTGATGAGCAACGAGCTTGGAAATCGCATCACGATTCCGGTATATGCGCGTGTAGAACTTCCGCCTGCTCGGTCGCGTAAGACAGCTCACGTATAACATTGCCATCGCTTCCTTTGGCCTGGGAGTAGGTGATCTCCCCCCGGAGGGTACGCCTGGTAAAAATAAAGCTGCATTCTGCCACTCTCACTAGATAGTTGAATTGCTAAATATTCTATATCAGAAGATAATTGTACAGTGGAAAAGAGAACGGTGTTTGATGTTCTTAGATAGATCGATGTGAAATGCAGCTCATACAGTGACTGTTGACTGGGTGATCCCAGGTGAAGTTGTATCTGCTTGGTTGGGCGGTTGTTCCACTTCCACCTTGAACTGTCGTGCGCGTTCCTAGTGCTAGTATGGTGTCCATGAGATGAGACATTGCGTTATCCAGAAGCGATTTTTTGGTGTGAGGATCTGGGTCCCTCCAGCGTTCCCTTCTACTGGGATCCTGGGAATTTCTGCGAGTGGGATATTATTGATCAATGCTCCAAATCATCGTGCCTCCAAAGCAATGTTCGCTGGTCCATTCATTGCCTCTTCATTTTTATCGTCTCTGAATCATCGTAGCCAATCCACTGGTTGTCAAAGGTAAATTTATTTCATCATATCTTTCTTTTAGCAACTGAGGCTGGAGTAGCCTTTCTGAGATCACTTGCTCGATCTCCTTCAACGTTAAATAATACGCCTTTGGGCTGACGTAGCGATTAGCAACAGCAAGCAGATCACAACAGAGACAAAGAGGAACTCTTACTATTCCCAGTCAATATCAACAGCCTTGAAGCCATGTTTAGCCAGGCTTAGCCATGCATTCTTTGATGAGTAATGTAATGAATTTCTTGCGGTTTTCCGGGCATGGTGCAAGCTTGCTCCACGTTTTTTCTGTTGGGCGGGGATCGCTGAAGGGCCGGCCCCGTACTGCTATCCAAGTCTCTGGAGTTTTTGACGATTTTGTATTACTATCTATGATATGGGTTACACGCGCCTGGTAGAGTGCTCCCGAGTTCCCGCCTCAGCGTAAAGTCAGTTGCTAACTCAGATTCGCGGCCCAATTCAACCGCCGGCTCTGGATTGTGTACGGAGCACAGAGTATATAGTACATGTACATCCATCGGCCACGCGAGAATTTGTCCATCCCGACGGGCGTACTAGATATTTGTATTATTGGTGCATTTCCAGTATTTGGTATTTGTCAACATAGATCTATGTACAGAGAGGATATACTTGTGAGCTGTGAGTCAATCAATATTCAAGGAACAGTGTTCTTTACCTGGGGTCTGAGGTGCTGAGTGGCAGCTGAGATACATAGCTAACCAGACATCTCCATATGCTTCTCTGGAAAAGGTTCCTGTCATCATCCTTCGTCATGGATGTAGTAGGCTTTGTTGTTTCTTGTGGCCTTCCCCGGCGCTGAGGCTCCTTCCGGGCCTGCGTGTGGGATCGTAATTTAATAATGCTTTCACACAGCCGTGCAAACAGGTCTTCCTCTACTACTGTGTATGAGGTTCCACGATTGGATTGGCCACCTGTCAAACCTCTACGCAGGCCACAGGGGCCAGCATGGCTGCATGCATGGCTGGCAATGATGACATGGATGATGATGATTAAAGCAGCCTGCCTCTTCGCGTTAGGTTAAATCCTTGAGTATTGGGATATACGCAGATACATGATACATCACATCCGCCATAGTTTTTGTAGTCGGCAGCAAGCACGAGACAGATTTATCGCTTCCACCAATACGATAATTACCAGCGTGAACGACAAGCATCGCACCGCATCCCCAGCCAGCCGGTACCTGTATATAACGGAGTATGTATCTTTGGTTAGCTTCTGCCGTGTGCACCGCCAAGACTCCGCTGATGGAGCTGTGTCGTGCTAGATGATTGGCCGCTGCGGGGGTGCTAGCGAAGCACATGACTTCGTGTGAGTCACCTGAACTCGCGTAACCACTTTACGCGTCGCCCAGCTTTGCAAGCCGCGTCTCCCTCTTCTGTTCTTGATAAAGAGATTTCCCCCAATTCCCATTATTATTATTGAGAGAGAGAGAGATTGCACGGAGTAAGAAGGTTACTCTGTATAAGATGTTTTGTAGTTTTAGTTTTTGGAACCAAGGGGGAAAAAAAGAGGTGCTGATGCTGCCCTGCCGTGGACAACAGTGCAGGTTTCCTTGTTCCTTGTTTCTTTTTTTCCTTTTTTTTTTTTTTTTTTCCCTTCCTGCTTGCGACTTGTTGCTCATTCAATTCCTTTGCCTTTGCCTTTGCCTTTTCCTTTTCCTTTTTCCTTTTCTCTTTTCTTTTCTTTTCTTTTCTTTTCTTTTCTTTTTTTTGCTGTGCTGCTAGCTTAGTGATACTTGGAGCGGAGATGAGACTACTGCGGAGTGGACGCTGCCTAGCCCCCTGCGATGAACGGGGTATATAATAATACTGATACCGTTTCTTATATATAATATCTGTGCTTAAAAGGTGTGGCTGAGACTGAGAGAGAAGGGGGTTTTTTCTTTTTTCTTTTTTCTTTTTTTCTTTTTTCTTTTTTCCTCTCCCTTTCCTCCTGCGGGTGTTCTCAAGCTGTCAAATCTCAAATTCTGTCGACTTCCAGGATAGTTTGTGTTCATTTTACATACCAAGGCTTGCTGTTAGCTATATTTATTCGAATTACATTCATTGCTTGCCCCCCCGAGCTGATATTTTGGCTTGTCTGGGAAAAGAAAAGAAAACAAGCCAACTAAATAAACCGACAACCACTCCCACCCCCCCCTCGAAGAACAGAAACACCCCAGCTGGAATCATGTTTGTTAGACGGTCATCCCAAAGCCATACGGAGAGCTTTTCTTCCAAATATCGAGCGGGTAAATCCTCGTCTCGATCAAAGAGATCCTTCAGAGATCCTGCATCATCATCGTCAACAACCACCAGACGAGCTGAAAGGGCTGCTCGCAAACCAGATAGCCCTCCAGCTGGCACGTAAGTCAACACAAGACAATTTCCCAGCCTCAAGCAAATATGCATCTACATTGAGCTGCACACAAGTATTGACCTAGATATTTCACATGTAGCAGCAACCTTACCTCTGCCATTATAACCCTCTGCGTCGGCCCCGACCAACGTCTCTTTGCCGCTCACGAGGACGTCCTGTGCATCTCACCCTTCTTCGCCACCTGTTGTCGAGGCCAGTTCCTCGAGTCCCACGGCAAGAGAATCAATCTGCCCGATGAGCAGCCAGAAATCCTCTCGTCCATCCTCGAGTACCTCTACAAGGGCGACTATTACCCACGCTTAATGCACAATAAACGCCGAGATGTCTGGGAGCTGGAGAATGCTGGGAATGGTTCGAGTGAGCAAGCTTCCGAGTCGACTATTATCAACCAGGTGGATGGGGCTGTTATCTTGAAGGATACCGCTGTCTAGTTTGTCTCCCTGCTCTCCGTTGTACTTTTAGCTCATTGTATCCTCCTTCATAATTGAAGTTGAGCTAACCAGTTCCGTTTTCTTTTTCTTTTCCCCAAAAGCTGTGCTGCAGAACGATACGGCTTGGACGACCTGAAACGACTCGCTCTCCGAAAACAGGGGCTTCAGGTCGCGGTGCAATGTAGCACGATTCTCTCTAGTGCTCGATTCGCCTATGCAAACACCCCGGACAACGATTCCAAGCTCCGTGCCCATTATCTTGCCCTGATCATCCGCAGCAGATCGACTTTCAAGCGAAGTGGCCCCATGCAGATGGAAATGGAGATTGGAGGGAAACTCTTCTTCGACCTTTTTGTCGCCATGTGCAATCATATGGTTAGTCCTTTTTTTTTTTTTTTTTTTTTTTTTTTTTTTTTTTTTTTTTTTTTTTTTTCCCTTTCCTTTTCTTTTCGTTTCACTTCTTCTTACCTGGTTTACTTTCGCTCAAATACTCACCCTTGTTTGAATAGGATGATCTCACCAACGCCTCCAAGTCACCCTTCTCCCGTTAATAATGCCCCTTTACTCTACGACTCCCAGCATCACATACGATCCACTCCGGATGGATGCCTCTCACCATTCCCTATCCCCCGCTACAATAACGCAGTCCATCTCACCTCTTATCCCCGTCGCATCCCATGCCCACCGTCCCGTCCGCACCAGGACTCTCCCCTCCACATCTCCTATCTCCTATCTTGTAGCCGCCGCGCCCTCGCGATATAAAAAACTTAATACCGCAATCCGACCACACCACACGCTATCATTCTACTATCCTACGACGCTTGTATAATATATGATTTTGCACCACCCGACTAATTGAGAGAAAAGAAAAGAAAAGATTGCAAAAACTAGCAGCGATGAGGAGGAGGTGGGGAGGGGGGAGGGGGGAGGAGCTAGTATGAAACAAGCCGAATCGACGAACGAAAGCTGTCCTGTCCGTCCATCCCTATGTTGTGTTTTGTTTTTTCGGGGCCATCTATTACTATTTATAAAACCAACAGTGAAATCCCGCCGTCTAACGTCAGTACCAGTCTGAAGCACCGAGGAAAAAACTCCACATATGGAGGAGTAACAGATGATGGGGAACGGGATAAAGCGAGTGATGGAAAAAGATGGAAAATCTATCCATCCCTCTAACCATATTCTTCCCCCATCCTACGTTACATTACTCAAGTAGCTCTACATTTTTTGTGTATTATTATCTCCCCCTTTTTCCCCGTATTGTATTTCTCACTTACTATATCCCATCTCATATTCCCCATACATTTTGTTTCTCATCATTCTTGTTTGACTCTTACTGTTTGTTAAACTTTGATTTGTTTCTTTTATATACCAGGTAGCACCGGGCACCCGCCCCGCCGCTGCCCTGTCTCCTAACAGAATGAAACAATGCTTGGTTGAGACACAGCAGGAATGCATGCATACAACAGAAACTGATGGTTGTGCATTGACTATTCATCAGATATTTTTCGCAATTCAGAACTTGCTACTGTTCTGCATTCCCCCTCCCCTTTCTCAAGTGACTCTTTCTACCAAACATTGCCTAAATCACACTCATTTCCTGATTTCTGATCGTATCTTGAAATTCCAGTTAGTTATCCGATTATGCGGAGAGAACTTTTGGGCTTGTTTTATGGCTGCTAGCTCAAGAGTTGATTGATCTCCGTTTTCCGTTTTCCGTTTTTTTTTTCTTCTTTTTTTTGTTTTTCTTTGTTTCCCCCTTCCATCCTGTATCCACATGTACCTCCTGGAGAAAAGAACATGTTTTGTGTCTTCTATCTAAATTGCCATTGGAAGGGGAATGGAAAGAGAGAAGAGAAAGGAGAAAATAATTACAAGAGAGATATGTCAATGACTAATATAATTCACCACTTAACAACCTGATTCACTTCAAATATTAATATCTTAAAAGTTCTTCTTTATTTGAACTTTTTAAGATGTAATTTATAAATATTAAGATTTATACTATAATAAAGTCTTAAATTATAACAATATAGATAAAATTAATTAAAATATAGAATAAAATAAATAATAAAATACAGTAAAGTAAAATAAAATATTATATTTATATAAGAAATTCTGCTTCTTATAAATTCTTTATATCTATTCTGTGAAAGATATAAAGCTTACTTAATTAAAAGATTACTAGCTTGTAAGAAGTTATATAATGAAAGAATTAGTAAGTCAGATTATATAATCTAACACTCTTACTTATCAGAGTAACTATATATAATACTACATATAAAATTCATCTTTAAATAAAGTACAGATATAAAAAATGACTGAAAAATATATAGTAATAAAAAATCAGTTATAAGATTTATTATTTTTTATTTCTCTATCTCTTCATCTTAATATTCTTCTTTCAACATGTATATTTCAATGTTTTAAGTGATTTAGTAAGCTCATTCACTGCATTCTTAGCAGATGAAATATATTAAATAAATATTTTATTCTTACAGATAAGATTCTGAAGAATGTGAAAATAAATCTCTATATACTTTAAGCAGTGTGAAATTACTTCAGAAGAAAATAGCTCTATAATAAACTTATTATCAGTATGAATTGTATAAGTGAGATTATTAACTATGATAAGAATAAAATAATTATCAGTATTCAAATTATTAAGATAGAATAAAATGAATTCAGTATCTTCTAAAAACTCACAGAGATAGATAAGCTTATATAGCCCTGGTGACTGAATGGTTAATGCAGCCACCTGGTAGCACCTTGGCGTGGGAAATCAAGGCGCGTGGGTTCGAAACCCGCAGAGAATACATTAAATCCGGAACTCAAGCACCTCAGGTTTCTAATAAATACAGAGGTGTACAAATCACTTCAATGAATTGCTCTATGTTCCTGGGCTGGGAAGTTATTATCACATGTATCTAATTGTCACTTCTTTGTATTTTTCTATGTTCTTGTTATCTTGGCATGATCTCAACACCTGTATTTCCTTCTGTATAATCAACACTTAACCTGTATTTAACATCACACAAGGACTTATCATAAGCTCCGCTTGCATATAAGTATAATGAAAGAATAATAATAATAATAATAATAAGCTTATATATAGTCTTGAAAAATGCAATATATTCAGTCTTTATTAATAATTTAAAGATCTCAGTTTGCTGACAGCTCTGTTATACAATAAGACTATCTATTATATAGATAATATAATCAGTGATTAAATAGAATTCTAAATCTCTATCAGCTCAATTAATATTTATATATATTATAGATTTAATATTAATATCTCTGTAATAGATTATATCTTTATTAATTAAACTCTGTAGATATCAGAGTATATATTTGAATACAGCTCAGTTCTTTAATATAGATTAGAAGCTGAATTGTTTAAGAAAATCTGTAGTAAAGTGTAAGAAATCCCGCTTCTCACAGATTCTTTATCTCTATTTCTATCTCTTATATAATTAATAGAGTTAGCAGCTCTTGACTATATATAACTATATAGACTGAAGTTCATAAATACTATTCATAACTCAGCTTGAATACTATTATATATTTAACTTCTATATTTTATCTTTCTATTATAAATACTTCTAGTAGTTAACAGTATATATTATATCAAGCTACAAATACTTGAATAATCATCTATAAGTACTTATTCTTATATTTCAAGCTCTGTCAGTTAGTAACTGTCTTTTATAACTGAAAAAACTAGAAACTTGTATACTTTAATCTCTGTAAACTCTAATGCAGATACTCAGAAGCAGTTATCTGAATTATAAATAATCTCTATAAAAGAAGTCTCAGAGAACTTATTAATTACTTATAAGACATTATTCTCTATATCTGTGACAGTGAAACTATTCAAACTGATGAATAAATCAATCTCAGTGAAGAATATTCTTGAGTATCTCTTACAGAATCAAGCTATTTTTCTATAAGAAATACTTACTGTTTGTAAATACTCTTGAACTGAGTCTCTAGACATAATCTTCAGAGATATCTATAAACTGAAAAGAAACTTTCTTAAGCTGTAATCACTTAAGATTAACTACTGAATTATAATCTATAAAAGCTTTTATAAGTTTATATTTGAAATTAACATATAAGTCTAACTATGTGATATGAAAGATAAAGAAGCTGTTATCTATACAATAACAGATCTCTACTATACTGAAGTCAAGAACTGGCTGAATTATCTAGAGAATGATTATAAGAGATTCTATTAATCTATTCTTAAGATTTATCTAGAGAATAAGTTAAGAGACTCTATGAGCTGAATAGAGAACATCTAAGCTGTGATCATTAATATTAGAAAAAGAGATAAGAAATCTGATAAAGACTACTCACAGTACTTTATAAAATTATAATATAAATTGAGATCTGTAGAAACAGAGTTCTGAAACAAGATCTGAATAATAATATTTATAAAGAAGCTGAATAAATGTGATTTAAAGATTGCTTAAGTCAGTGTATGATTACAGGCGTACACCGGCTTCTTATATATTGTAATATTGTACACTAAATTAATTAGTGGCTGCTATGACCTCTCTCTTTACACTCATAAGCTAGTTCAGAAGTGGCTGTATTATTATTCAATAGTTATATGTTCTTTCAAATCACATTCTCTCTTATCAGATTCAGTCACGCTCATATGATCATGTTGTACATTCTAGCTTCATGTGAATTAGCTTACTACTAGTGTTTCACAATTATGTGATCTATCTCTGATTTGACTAGTATTTCATATACACTCTTACAAAGAAACTTTCACTATAATACATTACTTATTCACTAACTTTTCTCATTCTTCAATCATCTTCTTCATTATTATCATTATTGAATATTATCATTATCTCAGATTTCTACTTCTTCTTCTATTCAACTCTTTCTATCTATTCATCTATCACATTATACATATTTCTGGCAATGACTCTCTGTTCTCATAATAAGTGTTATTGTAGTACTTATATATGATATCAGATAGTTTATTAGCAGTAAGTGTAATATATTGTGAAATATGATCAGAACTTGTTTATCTTCTAATAATTATCAGAATATATTATTATGAATGACATATCTTCTTCATCTTCTTATACACTCTTGACTGTTTCCTTCTCAGCAGGTTTCTGATCATGTTTTCTGACATGATTTTATGTGAATACAGATGCTGATATCTTTGTTTTTATTTATATAGAATCTTTACATGTTAACAGATCTGCATCTGTCAATGATAGTGAACTCAATGTTGAATCATTGATTGAGAACTTGAAGAACATGATTATAAAGAAATTGTTTATATTATGTGTGATCAGATCTTCTGTGTCTCTCTCTACCTCTTCTACTACTTCTTTTTCTACTGCTCTCTCTCAATCTTCTACACTTGTCTCTGTATCTGATTCTCTCACTCTCTCTATCTCTGTTCCCGTGATCTCTACTTCTACTACTTCTGGTTTTATCATCTCTGCTTTCATTATCAGCTCTCCCTGTTTTAAGAAGATATTGTATAGACTTAATAAATCACATTTCTCAGTATATACACTTCTGCTCT